TATATATAGTAGATAATAGGGTTTCGCCAGTATGGTAACTTAATTTAAGTTCCTTAACAGCAACCCAGGATTGGTGGCTTAATGGATGTGGTGGGCGTGAACGTAGACAGCGGAATATCACTCTCTGCTAATCAAGGCATTGGCTTCTTCCTCAACACAGCTGGTGTCGGATTCTTTTCAGAAGTGAAGATCGGTGGGTCCACAACAACTGTCAGATGCGTCTTCAAATTCAGCAACAAGAAGTTGAGGTGCAAAGCTCGATTGGGCTGGGGTGAGCTGTTCCTCTCGGGCTCCAAATATGTTTTGAACAAGATCAATGACTTCGCGGGCAATGGGGCGCAGGAGGTTGCACAGTTCTACTCAAATCGAGTGGGGGGGGTGGGCAAGAAGTTTGCAAAGAGCATCGTCAACCATGGCAAGAAGGTGACCAACAAGGTGAAGTGCAAGCTGAGCAATCTTTTGGGTGGCAAATGTGGCAAGAACGGGGGAAACCCCAGCAGCTGTGGAGATGGCACCGAGTATGTCATTCGCAATGAGCAGGACAAGTGCCTCATGCCATCCCCTCGATGCTATGAGCCCAGTGGGGACGGCAAGGTCTACTACTTCGGAAGGAAGCAACTTTTCAGAAAAGCTGCGACTGAAGATAATCGAAGTAGGCTGTGCCATGCTGTAGCGTTCATTGACTGCCTTGCGCTCTATACAATCCAACAGACTCCAAGCACGGGTGCCCTACAATCGCACCTCTGCAGATGGACCCGTTCACACGAAAAAGGATGCCCAATCCTTGCAAGCTCATTTGCAATGTACCCTTGTTGCCGAGAAGAACCACGAGGGTGAGTCCCTCCGAGATCCTGCTCAACTTTGGGCAGGTATCACTGCCTCGTCAATGCACAGACTGATACTGGTAGCAGCAGCGACAGCAGAACAACAACAGGATGCCGTTCTAGATCCCCTGCGTCCTGTGGAAGGACTCACGGCGGCATCAGGGATGGCAAGGGGGTGCAAAAACGCATGCGCGCGCAAGCTGGCGCAAGGGCGGGTGCAAGAATACTTATTTTCTCCTACATGTTGAGAATGCGTGTATACACTATGTTGAAATTGGCTGTAGGGCAAAGCGTGCAGGACCGCGCGAGGGCGGGCGTAAGGAAAACCAAACGCTGGCGCATCAATACTAGAATTTTGGACAGCATCCAACTCTAACTGAGAACAGCCAAAGAGCATCAGCAAATCGGGCAAGAGTAGCTACAGCCGGCAGGAGATACAGCGGTACAAGCAAAGCCAAAAAAGGCCTTGACACGCAGGCTGTAGTGATGCAGTATTGATTTGTCAGTCACAAGTCAGCCCAAGCCCAGATACGAGTGAGTTGTGTATGGTTGCCCCTGCAGGGACTGCATGCCATCCTTCCGCGATTGCTCTTACACGTCAAGCAGTTATTCCGAGCAGATGAAGCAGTACTGGTGGTACACGAAAGACAGATATCTGTGCAACGAGTTCATGCACAACATGTACTTTGGCGACATTGCCGACCCAGATATGAATCCGAAATGCTTGTACCTCCATGATAAGAGACTACATTTTGCAACTCCTGGGCAACATACCCCATCGCAGATCGGAATCTCCAAAACATCCACCGAGAGGCTCTTAGCTGCCAATAGTGTAGAGTGCAACACAGACACAGGAAAAGATTTCCGTTGATGTCCGTAGTGTCACCAGGTTCAAGGTCCACTTGCTCGGTGTCACGGGCCCATATGGTCAAGTTTGTCTTCAAAGCACAGGTGGAGGAGGCACAATCGACCAAGGCACCCGCGCGGCCGAAACGCGCAACTTGTGTATCAAGGGCAACTTATGAGCTGCAAAAGCACGGCTAAAGTCAGACATCTGCACCTCCTACAGGATGCTGCCAACTTTTTTGTATGGAGCAAGGTTTGAAGAAGGTGCCAGGAGTATTTGTGCACGTCACATGCTGAACGTAGTACAGTACCTCACACCATCGCTTCCGAAGTAAACCTGTGCTATCTATCGAGGGCTTGACGATCTTTACCCTGAAGGCCGGCGGCGGTTGGCGCAAAACGTTTTTGTTCGCGGATATGAGGGCGGCCGGCGCCGACGTCGTTGCAGCAAAGGCGGCGTCAAGACTTTTCGCATCTACCAGACGCAAGGCAGCTTTCTCTTTGCGGTTCTGCGAGGTTCCGGGTTTTCGCAACTGAGAGAACACCAAGAAGTTTCGAAGGGTTGAAATGCCCAGGTTCTGACAAACTTTGCCACCTGGCTTGCACATGCTGTCATCGTTGTGCCACCTAGGAAGTTGGAGCCCGGAAACGGTGCTAACTACGACAAGGAGAGGTTGTCTCGAGTCCACTAGCTACAAGTACAGTGAAGACTTGTGGTCACCGCAGACCAACAAGTGAATTGCAATCCCTTGCCAGGAGAACGGAGACGCGCAATTCAACAACGGCTGCCATCGGTAAAGAGGAGCAGAGATGTGTGGGATGCGCCTTGAGCTGAAACAGCCTGCAACAGCCGACACTCAAAAAATCCAGCAATGTGAGCGTGTTGGAGCTCGGCTGGCTTGGCTGTTGTCCTCATCGATGGCTGTTTGCGCTTCCTTTGCAGCCACATCAGCTCGGCTTGTACGATAGTATGCCACTTGGCACGCGTTTTCGCATCTTCTGGCAGACGTCCATCTACGTCTGTTTGCTTCATGGTGAGCGCACCTGGCATAAGATGCGGCACAAAAGCTCCCAAGCCATGAACACTCCTTCGCCCCTGCATTTGATGTCATGGTCAGCAAAGAAAACGCGGCAGCGATTGAACCTCTCTTTGTCTTGCGAAGCATCCTTGGCAGGTCCGCAAACTTGCTCGAGCCGCAAGCCCATGAGCTTGTAGCAATATAGTGTGGCTCGGAAAGTGCCGAAAACCTGTTTCGATTGAGGATGTTAACGACCAAGAGGAGTTTGTCCAGTACCTGAATCAGGCAAGCTTGGGCCTGCAGAGATCATGTCCTCCAGACTCCACGTGGCAGGTGGCTCTGCCAGTGCAGAAGCCAGTCCTGGAGAGATGGGGCTTCGAGGCCAACTGGTTCTCTGCAATCTGCTGCGGTCTTTGACCTATTTCAGCTCCAGATTTCCATGCTGATGGAAGGAGCAATTGTTGTGGTAGTTGATGCTAAAGCTTGCAAGGTCATCTTCTGCTTGAGTAGCCAAACCTGACCTATCGTGCACCTGTGTCATGAGAGGCAACAGAAGTGGGGGTCACCGAAATGAGAAGGGCCATCCAGGACCAGCCACCTTCGGATTGCCAAGTATGGGGATTCCATGTTCAGGTGAGGATTCAGCCTGCGTGTGTACGGTTCATCAAGTCAACCGTGATATGACTCCCAGCCTGGATTGTGATCATGCTGCGTTTGCCAGCCAGGACCATACCGTTGGAGATGATGCGAAACTCAAGAGGCTGGAACAGCTTTGGATACGCTATACAGACCGGGCTGGAGTTGAGCATTGTGCGCTATCAAACATCAGGCAGGCTCAAGCCACCACTCGTGCCCTCTATGGCGAAATGTACAATGCGGTGCGAGGTGGCCAGGAGCTTGACTCAGCCAGGCCGTAGCGAAAGAATCAGCCTGTCTCACAGGCAAGTCTGCCAGGGAGCCACGGCCTTGACATCTGCGGTTGCCTTAACATGTTGTGCATTTCTTGAAGTTCCCAGGCGCGGCGCTCCAACCGCTGCCTCGTTCGTGCCGGACGGGTCCTTAGAGGGGCCTCCTGAAGCACGAAGCACGGGGAGCAAGCACGCGGGTCGTTGTTTGAAGCCTTATCTTGGCCGCCAGGAGAAGGACCGGCTCAAAGAAGCTGAGAAGAGGCTGCAGCGACGACTCCGCGGAGAGGCTCAGATGTCTCAGTAAGTTCTACAATATGACTCCACGACTTCACGGTTGGAGGACCCCAACTCCGATGAGGAGTCCAAGAAGAAGGCATATCGGCATATCGTGGTAACACAATTGATGTAACTGGTAGCGTGCCAAGCTTGCGGCATGAAGGGGCCGCCTTGTTCCAGGATGATCCATCCCGTCTCTATGCCCATTGGAGAGCTAGTCGTGTGCTTAAGGCATTTACGGCCATACACAGCGATCCCATACAAACAGCTGGAATTTATCCAGTCTCCTGGTCTTCATGCTCAGCTGAACAATGCCGATGCCTGCAAGGATAGCATGTGTCCACGCACAAGAGTGCCAGGACCAGTATTGCGCTCAGTGTTGTTGCGATTTGCAGCTGCGTCATGGAATAGGTGAAGAGTCCGGTCCATACAAAGAGAGAGTGATTGTGGTGTCTTATCGAGACGAATTCCAAACATTGCAGGTGCCGTGAACCTTTTTGATGTCTGTTAAGATCGGAGTACAGCATCAAATTGGCCCCCAACAGACCCATCTATTTGGCTTCTGAGGCTCTGCATTGCATGGGCACTGACCTGCCGGCAGCATGAGATGCCTGAAATATGGTACGACCAGTGACCTGAGCAGAAGCAAAAAGAGCAAAAGAAGTAGGTTCTTATTCAGGGACCAGCAGTCTGGAATGGCCCCCGCACTGGCGATTCACGCGACTGCCAGGGGACGTACATTGGAAATATGCCAGTTTAGGCTTCCTGCTGAGGTTCGAAAACGGTCATGGCGCCAAGGTCTAAAAGCCAGCATTTCCGCGTACACGGGAAGCCTGGGGGCCAGTGCATGCTACGAACTTTTACGCCCGCGCGCACGCCCTTGACTCTTTCTTTGCGTGTCTGCAGCTGCCTGCAGTGTGTGCGTGTGTGCGTGGGTGTGGGTGTGTGGGTGTGTGTGTGTGTGCGCGCAGTAGTAAGTGGTGCAACGGGGCATGTGGGCCGGCGTGGAAGGGCAGACAGGACGCCAGTCGGCTTCAGGACATGCTGTCGACAAGAAACGTGGAGTGTGAGAGTGGCACTTCTCTGCCGGCCATATGCCTGCGGACGCAGTCTTGCGGGAAGTGCTCGGCAGCTTCTGGCCAACGCCGTCGCAGGACGGGCAAAGCGTCTGCCCATGCCGCAGGCGAAGAATGCGGTGGATGCATCAGGCGGAGGAAAACAGCTGGAGAGGCCATGTCGCGGGCCTGCCTCGGCTACGTGCTCTCCAGGCAGCCCAGCCCGTCAGGCAGGGTCTGCCACACCTCATTGTCATGCGCGTGTGCCATGGCGGCCGGAGACATCGTGTGCAAGAGATGCTGAGCCGGAGGCTTATACAGAACGGGAGCAATTACTCAGTAGCCACGCCTGGTGCAGGAGTTGAGGCAGTCACCTGCGCTGCTGTGCCAAGCGGTCCTTGGTTCACCGCTGGATTCACTCCTTGCCCATGGGCACGCCCCAGTCGACAAAACTGCATTCTGCGGGCGACACGTCGCCTCGGCCAACATCGGCACCAAAAAGCTTAGTTAATTTGATATGATTATGAGGAAGCTTGTTTTGCGGGCAAACAGCCCTGCATCCAGGCCAATTTCATCGAAGTGTTCCTTGAGCCCGCAACGCGGCGCGCGCATGGCGCGCCTGCAATGCCACAATGGGGTGCACTGCACGAGACGCTGGGAATCGCTGTTCCAGCGTTTGCCGACCTTTCCGCCGCCAGAGCGTGCGAACGACGGGGGACGCTGCGAGCCTGCGCAGAGGGTATGCTTGGGGCTGGCAGCATCACAGGCATCAGCGTGTTCAACCCGTTTTCGCGATGGCATTGTGCTGCCCATCTTCACATTGAACATCATTGAGTCATGTTGCGTTCGCACGCCGGGCTCCGCGCTGTTGTGTGACTAGGAGCAACTCACGCTGCTGCATGCGCCGCCGCCGCGGCATCGCAGACCATGCATGCGGGGAGTTTCAACCACAAAAACCATCCCTTCTCGTGACCGCGCACTTGGCTGTAGGCACGCCGCGCCAAGCGAAACGGGCGTGGATCTGCGGTGTGCGGGAGGCCCGACGCTGGTGCAAAATGCAAGCTTCTGCCACAGCAGCGGCTATCAAGGGGATGGTACTGTGCTGCGGGTCGCCGGGCGGCGCACGCGCGCATGGCTGCGCGTGCTCGCGTCGGCCGGCTGAGCTTTGGTTTTTTCGTTTGTCCAGCGATACTTCAATACAGAAATAAGTCCCTGTATGTTTCCGCAACGTGTTTCCAGCAAACATGAGGAAGGCTTAAACTGCGCAAGCATGATGCTCGCGCAAACTGTTGCGGAAGCTCTTTCTGGAATTCGTGGCTGTCGGTGAAAGAACCAGGGTAAGATTTGAAACGCTGTTCATGGAAGCGTCGCGGAAGCACCTGCCAAAAAATCGTGGCGGACGGGTCCGTGGAAGCAAGATGGTTTGAAGTGCCGACCAAGACTAAATTAGTCCTCGTAGAAGTTCCGCGGAGGCTTGCAGGTGGAAAGGTTGTTGAGGGGATTTGAGGGGTAAAAGCCACAGCTCAGCTCGTGTGTGTGCGCCGTGCGGCAGGTTGCAGCAACTGCGATGCTGCCGGGTGGAATATTCTTTTCACCACTTGCGCAAGGCATCGGACATCCCCGGACCATACCTTGCCGACGTGCTGCAGGTGGCCACGCGCGAAGAGCCAAGCTTGCTCCCGCGGTGGAGATGGCGCATGTGGAAAAAAAGTGCCGGAAATGAAGAAAACACGCCAGTATTGTTGCTTTTGTCATCAGTGACGAACTTCCGAGTTGTTTGTGCCAACGTTGGCCGTTGGGTTTTCGTCGCGTTACAGCGCGCCCTAGCACAACCTAGCACCAACTCGTCCAGCGTTTTTGTAGATTTGGCGCTGAGCTCACGAACAGTGACGTCACGTGAGCAAATATGAGATCCAGCAATGTTGGATACGTTGGCATGCCGAGCGATTCACCGGATATACTAACCGTTCTGCGAAGGAACAAGAGTCCGGAAATCAGGAAAGCCAAGAGAAAACCAACCTCCAAAACCAACATTTGTGGAGTGAACATCTCCAAACCAGTAGCTGCTGGCACTTGGGTTGCCGGTCATGGTTTTTAGGGCTATCAGCTCGAATGGCCGAGCTCGAGATGGTCCTGGGTTTTCCCGTGGTCCATGGTTTTCTCATGTTTTCCTTTGGTTCTGAAGTCTGAAGTGAGCAGAAAATTGGGGTTGGTTTTCCCGCGTTAGTTTTCGGAGTTTAGCTTCTCGGGGACTTGGTTTTGGAAGTTGGTTTCGGAGGTTGATTTTCCCTAGTTTTTGCAAGGGAAAGCAATCTCCGGCCCCTAAAGTAGTTTCTTGTCTACGGGGATGAATTTTGGTTTCCCTTGCACATGGCAGGGGAAACAACCCTCCAGAGCCTGGAGCGGAAGTGCCTTTCGGGGCTGGAGGGTGGTCTCCTTTGGAAATCGGTTTCCCTTGCCTAATACCACGGAAAACCGGAAAACCAACCTCCAAAACCAACTTGGGCATAGAGGCCTAAAAGACTGTCGCCGCCTGGACTTGCTCATCTATGGGGCGACGCCCACAGGGATCGCCGCCACGCTCATTTCGCCGTTGATGTGGACGGGCCAGTCGAAGCCGTGCAGCGCAGATGTCAACAGAGAAGCGCTGCGCGTCGCCGAGCGGCTTACGCGGGCAACATATCTGGAACTTCGGCCGCCGGCCCGCAGCGCCTCGTCGTATTTGGGGCGGTGGGGGGCCGATGGAACGGTGGTGCAGTCGGTTTGGTGCGTGATCTGGTTCGAGTCCGCGGATTTCGAGCCCCACCCGCCGTCCGGCGCGCCGCCAAATCCGGCTGGGCATGCAGCAGGCCGTGGCTGGGTGTGCCTGGCGGATGGCCTCGTGGACCTCCACGGCCGACGCTCCACCGCTGGAACACGTGCTCGGGCGACTGTTCGCCAGCCTCGTAGTGTAGTCCGGCCGGACCAAAACCCTTCATGCAGGCATAAAAGGCCGCAGAAAAAAAGATGTTAATCTCAGGTGTGGGGGTGCCCTTGGCGTGTTTTGGAATGATTCTCAGTCGGCACCCGTGTGGGCAGACCATGATATACTTGGTGCACACAATTTGAAGCCTTTGCTCGGGTCACGGGATAGGAAAATTGGACGGCATATGCCCAACATTCCCAAGACTGGCAACGCGCAGGGGATGCCTTTGTTAGCTTTGTTTCTCAATGCAGTGTTTGAAATCGAACGCGCGTACCACCAATAATCAATTAACACAATAATCAATTTGAGATTTGCTTTGCGCCTGCGCCTGTTGGGGGTTCCCGACTGGCAGGTTGACTGATTGACTGATTGACCCCCGAAGGCCGGAGATTTTGTCAACCAAGGAGCTGACACCACCAACGTTTTTGGATGTGGAAGGTGACATGATTTCCGTTTTGCATGGAAAAATCAGCAGCATCATCTTGGACGCGTCCGTTGTGGGAATTTGCCCAGCCGTGGTGCTACAGAATGTTCACATTGGAAACGGGTTGCGTGGTGTAAATTCCATGCTCATCGGGCTAGGTTGCTGAATAGCCATGTCTCTTTGAAGAATGGTTTGAGGCTTTCAAGGTGGTGGTTTCCCTTGCCGCGCTGTATTGCCATTATCCGAAGAGCAGCTTTGCAGATTTTGACGTTGTTCAGCGTTGTATGTTACCATCCATCGTTGGTTGGAGGCGTTTTGACAATGAAGAGTGGGCAAATACCGTGAAGAGAATGAACGCTGCGGGTGGGTCTGGGCTTGGCCCGTGGACAGGGCGCAAAGGCTGCAGGGGTAGCTGGACCCCTTGCCCACGGACAGGGGGACCCGCATCAGCCCATTCATTTTCGGAACGGCAGGCAGGCAAGTGCAAATGCAGACAAACAGAAAAGGCGGACACGGGCAAGATCAGACGGTCCTGCAGGCAAAGCAGCGGTGGCTGCTATGGCCAGAGCGCTCGTGCCGCACGATCGGGCAGAGGCAGAGGCCCGTTAGGCCCAGGCAGCTGGGGTTCACGTCCCAGCCCTCTTGCGTAGTCCAGGTCCACGCAGGGCAGAGCGCGGAGACAGGAGCGCACCCGGATCCTCATTCCAAATGTCAGGGGCCCCAGGCGTAGGCGGGAACCGGGCAGGACGGGCAGGGCGATTTTTTTTTTCATTGGCCCTTTTTTGCAACCTTTTTGCGCGGTCAAGCAGGGAAATGGAATGCGTCGTCAATAATACAAATGGAATGGAGCTCAGCGTGCAGTCATGCGCAGTAAAGGATTCCAAAGGGG